AAAAAACTAATTGGAATTCAACAAGAGAATGTGGTGGAAGAGACATTCAAGGAGGGGATACAAAAGCTGATCTTAAATATCAAAAATGTATCAAACGATCCGGCGATTACGTCAAAAAAAAGCTGTACATATTTATAACAAATTCTATACGTTTTGTAGAAAAAATCCGCGTAATACTTAAATTATCAGGGACTCAACTCTTACTATCTATAATTATCCCTAATGGCCTAATGACTAGGTCTCCACTATAAGACACACCATAAGTGTGTAGGTACAAAATTATACATAGAATAAAACATATAAACAGAATATACCTACTTGACTTTACATAACATACCTACTTGGCTACTATACTATAGCTATATAGTGTTAAAATTTATTTATATTTAAAATCAACGTTTCAATGATAAAATGTCACAATCAAAAGGGATAATTATATAAGCAATACTTAGGTAATATTGATAATGATTTCTTTAAAGGTTAAGAACGGGTATTTTGTGAATTTCATTATGGTTTTCTGAATGAGTTTTGGTTGGAAAGTGTGATATTGGAAATCGAACAATCGTTTATGATGATATAGCTTTAGATGATCTAAAATACATATTTGTGAAATCTAAAATCAAAAATCTTTGTACAGTTCCTATTCAATTAATAAGTGCCGCATAATTGTTAGGTATTGTATTGCAAAAAAAAAAAACAACTCATAGATTAAGTAGTAAGTACATGTATTTAGTGTCTAAGCATGTTATTTTTATTTGTGAGACAAATTTACAATTTTTTGTTTAAGAAAGAATTTTTTTAAATACGTGTATGCGTTAACAATTGTTTAGATATTATGTGAAATTTTGCAAGAGTATATTACGTGTAATTTGATTTTAAATATATGGATGGTATAACCACTTACGTTTTATAATATACAATGTATTTTATACAATTATACATTTACTGTGAATGAAAATACGTGCTAAATATTTGAAAATCATAATTTTGGAAATTTCAATGTGGGGCGTGGGAACACTTACGTTGGTATGATCACTGACGTAAGAAATCGCATGTATTATGTATGTAGGTACATATTCGGTGTAATAATAATACAATATTATGTCAAATTGTGTTTTGGTATTTAAAACGAGTACATAATGCATTTTTATTTATTTAATTTAATAATGTTGCTAACAAATAAATCTATATATCCTATTGGCTATCATTGAATATAAGGAATAAGTAATAACCAATAATAAGGTACTAAAGTACCAACACATGAAGTTACTTATTCATGAAGAATCTATGAGATAAAATATATATATATATAGGACATTCACGATTAATAAAAATATTATTATTTAGATTGCATAAGTATTAATGGACAATGTTTAGTAATAGATACACAAAGTCTTGATTAGTATCATAAATATTATCCACACGGTATTAATCATTATAGTTACACAATGTCATATAAAATATATACAACGTTAATAAGAAATAACTATAACCTTAGTCCTTAAAACAGATTTTTAGTCACGCTTTTAAAATATCAATAAATAAAGCAAATGACCTTTAAATTACCTATTTACATGCAGTGCGTTCTACAAACAAAATAACAGGAAAATAAATTCAAACCACATAACAAATTATGTTGTTCGATATTAAAAAAAACCAGAGAACTTGCTCTGCTGTATAGTCGATTTCGAGAGCAATTTGTCATTGATTAGGTTTATGTAAATGTAATTTATGTATTAAAAGACAATATTGTGCTTATTGTGAATTTTCGATATTTTTAAATTGCTTTGAAAAAAAATTGTGAGGAACCAAGTATCGCATTTCAAGCTTTTTGACAAAAAACTAACATTTTTATCAACAGTTATCACTTATCTAGTTATCTATACATATACAAATGGACTCCAATCCTTTGTCATGGCATCACTTGAGAACTCGAATTTACCGATTTGGCTGATTTTTTTTTCATTTGTGTTCGTAATTGTCAGGACAAGGTTTATATGAAATGAAATTTTAGCCAAATCCACGGAAAAAGTAGGAAATTGGATGTCAAAAATACAACAGTGGAGCCAGCTGTCCAGCAAAAAAATTAACTAAATAATAATTTTTTTTTTTATTGTAAGGTATCTATTGGTTATGATTGAATATAACTATATTAGACATTTAGACCTGAATAAATTATTATTATATTTGATGAAAACCATATATAACTTAGTAATAATGCTATTACTAACTCTAATTTTTTAACTTATGTAACAGGAACCTACTAATGCACATCATAAACAACGTGTTAATGAAATATTTGTATTTACGTATACTCCTCGAGGGGTCTGCAATCCATCTCAGGTGGATTACCTACCTGGAAATATACTGCTCGCATAATCACAAGCGCGTCTCACGGGCAACGCGGGTCGGGATGGTCATAATATAATATAATCAAACGTGCTTGACTGACTCACTGACTGATCAATGTAGAGCTTAATAATGATAGCTTGAGGATCGCAATTTTCATGTTACTTTCGTACTAAGTGTGTACTAAGAAAGCATCTTCAAAAATCCACATGTTATAAAGTGGTGTTTACACAGGTATTTTAAGATTCAAGATGAAAATGTTTAAGTTTTGAATACCATACACTGAATATTAAATAACGAATTGAACAAAGTTTGAATCATATAGAGTTGGTACATTTAACGGTACACTTCGTACGGGATCAGCTAGTTGAAAATAAAACAACAAAATTTCAAAATTTCAAATAACTTTAAATTTCTGGAAATTAGTCTAAATATTTTGAAAATTGCATTGTGTAGATAAAAATATATTTTAAGTAATAGTGAAATGTTTTAAATTCCTAAAATCAATATTTTTTGAATTACAACAAAATAACGAAAATTGTTTGAGGAGAAATCGTCATTTTGCGTTATAGTATCCAATAATGTCGTCAAAATTCGAACTTCAATCTCTCACATAAAATGTACGTTACTTTACGCTGTGTAGATGAGGATAGAAAAAAAAATTGGGTAAGTTGATGTCGCTCTGCTGTACAGTAGATTACAAGTGGGTAAATGTATAATGAATTGCATAAACTTGAATTCAATGATATAATAATATCATTGTATAAGAAAAACGAATCTGAGCGGAGACGGTTTATCAGTCTGGATTTTTTAAATTTTTATTATTTATTATAGACTTTGAATTGAATTAATATTATAATTTTTTATTCGTTGCTACGAGATACACAAATCTTTAGAAATTAAAATCCCATTTTAAGCGGTTTTTCGTAATTGTTCAGTAGTTTTTCCCCGTGGCATTAAATAACTTTTGAGAAACCCGAAAAATGACCTCTCTAAAGTACCATCTTGATCCAATTTGCTAAAATATAAGGTACTATAGGTTGAAAACGAAGCACTCCTTCCGGTAGAAATTTTGTATATTGGATATAAAAAATAAACAATATTGTAAGACCACTAGCTTCCTCCCTCCCTCTCAGAATCTAAAATGTCATCAGCATATATATAGAAAAACGTTGACAATTTTAAATGTGTATAAATAAATAAAAAGTAGTAAATATGATATATTATTAAAAATTATATTATGTCCATAGTTATTCTTTATTGAGTTACAGTAAAAAAAAAGAAACAAAATCTAATTTATCAAAAACTAATTTTCTGTAAAAATTACCACTTTTTCTAATTTTTATATTTTTGTCATTTCTGTTATTTTGAAAAGTACTGGGAAATTTATACTTCTGACCTATCAAAGTACCAACTATATTGGATTTTCAACCAGAAACCAGACATTTCCACTATCAATGTTGAAGGGTGAAGCTCTTTTTCTAATTATAAAAATGTCTCCGGTTTTCAGACAAAAAAAAAAGAAATACATCAATGTATACAGGTATACCTTAAAATTAGAATGAAATAAACAAAACCTTTTCACTAGAGATGATTTTCGAGTTTTCGACTTTCAAAAATTTTCTACATTCAAATAAATATACCACTGAACTAGAATACATGATACCAATAAATCATTCGCTCCGTAGTAACTATAGTAGATTATATAACTAGAAATATTCAATTAAGATTTAGGAACAAGGACAATCCCGCGAAGTGAGATGTTTATTTACACCAAGGCCCACCATCAACTATAGTATTAATACATAATACAATATCCCAAGAAATTGAATTCAAATTTAACATATCCATTATGATATTATACAGTGGCCCACTCAAGTACACTCGAGTACTCGACACTTACCTACGACCTATTATACAGTAAAGTGAATCCCCGATTAATTTATACTTGAAGTCTTGAAATTCTAACCATTAGTCTAATATAAGAATACCAAAGTCCCAAATATATATAAGTTTATAACTAGGTATAAAATAAATAATTATTATTTGAACTAAATTTTACGTGCAAAGTAAAACAATAGAACATACTTTAAGTTTAAAATAATATACCTATATACCTTTTAAATTATTATATAATAAAAATTTTTTTTTATCCGTATGTTTTTAACCCTAGGATATTAAAACTTTATTACCATTCATCAAAACTACGAATATAGTTAATAGTCAGGCAACATTTCCTGTCAATTGTACGTGTTACTTGTCAGTACCTAGTTGAAACATGAAACGACAACATGAGTTGTATGGAATAGAATTGTCAAGCAAATAGCAATAAGACAATATCAGCAAGATATTGTAGGTACCTACTTTATCATTAATGATACTTAACAATAATTACCGTCGGGAAGTAGAAGAGAGTACGAAATTCATGCTAAAAATAATCAGTACCTATACCTATACCTATACCTATAAAATGATTACTATTCGTTGAATTGGTGAATATTTAACATATAGGATTCAATTTAAACTTAAAAATTAATATTTTATTTTATGTAGTAATATGTAGTTACTTTTGTTATTTCTATTAGCTCCTTCCACCCTGCAATTATTATATCATATTTTTTTTCTTCATAAAACCAATAAATTAAACTTACTTTAATTAACGATTCTACAGTAGGATTATCCATCAAAGTTTTCAAAAATATTATATCAGTCTCTTTGGCCTTTACATGATAATTGATTTCGTCCATATTATCACGGACATGTTGGAATGCAGCTGTAACAATCAAAACAGATTTCAAAATTAATGATTTGGTAAGTATTAAAATATGTACCTAGGTATAAATGATTGCATATATGACAGTCTTCAGATAGTTTCTATTATATAGGTAGGTAAAGGTAATAAAGTTGTGCACTCTCAAACAAATTCCTGGGTACACAACTTTTTCACGTAGCTGACAATAATAAATGCCTTATCATAAAGTAAAAAAAAATGTCATCGTTTAGCTCAAAATAGATATTTTCTCTAAGCCCTCATTATGAAAATTAAGTACAAGTACCTTGTATCTACATAAAGTTCTGGATGAGGTGGTGAAACGGTCGATTTTAAACATAGGTTTTCTCATTAATGGTTTAAGATAAGAGTGCTCACTAAATAATAAATATTTATAGTTCAAAAACAATAGGTACCTATAGGTACGCCATTTAGTAAACAACGTACTTTTATAACCGTTTTTCAAAAATACCTATTAAATATATATATGGCAGTTCTGGGTCTTAAAGTTAATTCTGTATTAATTTAAATTTTCAAACTTAATAACAGCATAATTCAATAGGTGTTAACAGGATAGCATTAATATTTCTTGAGATAATGTTTTTTTTTAATAATTGACATGTTTTGTACTTCGTTCGATTATAATAATGATTTATTTTGATTCGTTAGTGCCTTTCCATTATTCCGACTACCACCCCGATGTCGTGACTTAGATCATGTACCTACCTACTATGGATGTAGCCATACACGTACATGCCTTTATAGATTTGATGTCAAAATAGAGCATTGGTTATCATTGCGCATGCGTGAATGAGTGATAACCCAATCTAAATTATTAGTCGCATGCCCACAAACATCCGGGGTTCTATAAGGTTCATTCATAGATCAAATATTCGTTATGGCATCAAGAATATTAGCTTGATGGCTACATAGTACATGATCTAATTTTTCGTCCACCTGGTGGTAACGTGGGAATCCCCATAGTGCCGGGAGGTAAAGTGGAAATCCCGAAAAGTGCTGGGTGCACATATCACCTGCACAACCAGACACTGAAATCTATACCATGGTGACGGTCTTTATGAAACATAAACTTTTGGTTACATCTTATATTCATATTATGACCTCCATGCATGACGCTTAAAATAAATAAACCAAATTGTTATTCTTTCATGAACTATTGTTTTCGTAGAATAGTCTGGTTATTAGGTACATAGATCTTTGCATTACCTTTGCCGTGATTGATGAACTTAGAGGCGTGACAAAAAATAGTATGTGTGGCTCGTGCGGAAAGGAAAATTCAGTCTTGGACGAAAAGCAGGCCTTGCTTGCGGCTTCTGCCCCACAGTCATCCAAGACTGAAATAGCTTAAATAGCATTTAAAAGTTTTATTTAAAAATATATTACACTTCAGATAGGCAAGTAATATCTACCACCTACTAAATAAATAATATAAAATTTTACAGGTAACATTCAAAATGTAGTGGACAATTTTATAATCCAAGGTTAACTATAAATTACAAACAATTCCAGAAAGTTTAGACCATGAACCAATATAAATAAATATATGTATAAATATTAGTTTAAGACTGGGATATCTTATCTTGAATTTCACACCACTCTCAATAATACTTGTTTTAGCGAGTATGAATAATGTTGTTTTTATAAATAGCTGAGTTATACTTATAAAGTTATAACTATATAAAATACTATATTATACAATTCCATTGTAATCTTTTCAGTTATTTGTCACCTAAATGTATAATGCAATTTTTCAAATTTTTATTTTTAATTACAACTCAAATATGTTAAGGTTACTTTTCATCTCGTGATTATTGTGTAGATACTAAATCGTTATTTTGTTTTAAGATAAATTCATCAAAACCACAAAAATAAAATGAACGTAAATGATTTTGACGCATATATAACAATACCTAATCACTAATCACAAAACACTTTACACACTACTGAATACTGATGAGAGTGCCTGCAGTGACTTTATATTCATATAGTATTATAGTATAGGTAACTTTACGTTTACCCATAGGCTATAACACCTATGTTAAACACAGACACAGAAACACTTAAGTGTTATCTGTAAGTAACTGTTGTCACATATAATGTTTATACAAGAATAATAAGTAATAACCGTAATCATATTATGTTACGAAACCATATTTGAAGCCAGGATAGGCTCTACTATACCTGTCCTGTAATCTGTACGGCTGTACCTCCTACCTATATTTATATACATAGGTATTTAAACGTAATAATATGTAGATTGTAATTTATAGATTGGTACCGTAAAACAGTATGACTTGAATAATATTCTTCAATACTTTCTGTAAACATTTCGTTCTCATAAAAATGTGTTATTTATCTAATTATTTATCACGAATACGCCTACCTGTATGAGCTGTGATTCAACCAAAATACGAGTATAATAAAAAAAACCGATTTTACAAAGCGTAAATTAAGAGCTACCTACTAAAGTCGTTGTTTGACTTCAAAATGCAAGGTATTGTTATTTTTTAGTGAATCCATATCGTATTTGGAAATAATATTTTTTGCATTTTACAGGGTTGTGTTTATTTGTATAATATGTCATCACGTCGATAAAGATACATTTTTAAGTTCAAAAATATTTTTCACTTAACCATGAACAAAAACTGTATTTTATAAGAAAAATTATGTTTAAAAATAAATAGCTTAAAAAATATATCGAATCAATGAGTAAAATTCTATAACATGCTTCCTACCAACATTAATATATCTATTAAATTAGGTAGTTAAAAAATAGTAAGAATATGGTTTTTAATACTTTAATTTTTTTTTAATAATTGTAACGCTCCAAGTGAACTGTCCACAAAGAACTCATTCTGTGTTTGAAAAAACGGATGACCAAACACCTCGAAGACTTGGAGCACTTTTTATGTTTTACCTCAATAGTCAATTTACTTAAATTTTTTTTATTCTTGGTACTGCTTGACGCTGTGTAATTGTTTACGGAATTTAATTATATTATCTGTTAGAGAAGGTAAAAGTTCAAAATCGTTCCAAGTCATCCGAATTGACGGTAGTTTATAATCCATTAGGCTAAGTAGTCTACAAAATATGTCAATTTCTCACACCACAAATACGAATACACAAATTCGGAGATTCCTAAAGTACGCATAAATTATATATTGTGCGATATTTTCTTCTAGACCTCGGTAATGGTTAGGTTAACTATATTAGGAAATAGTTTGCAACTATTTTGTTAAAAGAACCGAAAAAATCAATTTTTATTATTGTGTATTGTTGTTAAAGGATCCGACGATTACAAACGACACATATACTAATATCTCACTGGAGATATTATTGTCTTTGGTGATATAGTGTATACTCGTATTATGAGGGAAATTAAGCAAGGATTTATATTGAAGTATGGTGTACCGTCGTACAGTGTTCAACCAATTTGGTAAATAATTATTTAAATGAAATAACACTTACTTGTGAATACCGATATAGGTAATTACCAAGTTATTATTTATTGAACGAAATAATTAATATTTAAACACACAATAGTTACGTGTAAAATAAACGTATTAATAAAATTAAAATGAAAAAGAGTCTGAATCGAGGTCTAAATACAAATATGGATGCTCGGAATAAAGAAATGCTAATAGAAGTTCTGTAAGAGGTTCTGACCAGTAACGCACAAATTACTCACTTGATCGACCTGTATGCTACTGCCTACTGACTTACCAGCAGACGTAACTGTGGAAACGGTCCGTCCGGGGCCTTTGGAATGTGCTGACCAAGCTGAGACGGTCACATTGACCATCGTGAGAACCGATTAATTGGTCTCACACTCGATATACCCTGAGTCAACACATTCGTATGCTATATACACATGCCCTATACTCATATGGATTACCAGACATATATCTACTTATGCATGCATGTATACAACAATATTAAATATTAAATTAAAATAAAGCGAAATTCGAATTCAAATACAATAATAAGATTGTAAAATCTATAAAAATGTTATTTAGATTTTTTATATCCACAAAGAAACGAAATAGATTATGTTCAATACAATTTATACCAGGGCTTCAAAACGTTTTCATAACGTTACGAGTATAACGTTAAACGATTCAAAAAACGATTGAAATCGATAACGGATAACATATCGGTAAACGACAAACGATTGAAACGAATAACGGATAACATATCGGTAAACGATAAACGATTGAAATGGATAACGGATAACGGAACAGTAACGATAAACGATTAAAATTAATATCGAATAACGCAACAAAAAACGATTAACGATTAAAAGTTGAATCATAACAAACATGTCAGGCAACAAAGGAAATTACGAAAATATTAAAAACTATCTATAGAATATAATTAGAATTTAGTTAGTTTTGTAGAACTGTTGCTTGATAGGACTATAATAATAAAGTGACTTTAATATTAGGTACTTATCAAAATTAATTAAATGTACATGGAACTATGAAAGTTTAAAATAGCCATAAATATTTCAAAGAAATAATACGCATTATCAATATTATATTTAGGCTTTCTTACAAAAGTGCAAAATATTTATAAATAATGTCTGGGTAAATAGTATTAAACATTTAAACCCGTTCAACGGGTTCTACATTTCTTAGTAATGTATTTATAAATAATTAATATTTAAAACGTTTAAACGTTAAACGGAACATTTTATAAACGTTTAAATTCTTTATAACGTTAAACGATAAATCGATCATAACGTTTAATATCATATAACGTAAAACGCTAAATCGATCATAACGTTTAATATCATATAACGTTAAACGCTAAATTGTTCATAACGTTTAATATCATATAACGTTAAACAGTAATTTGGTCATAACGTTTGATATCCATATAACGGTAAACGGTATTATTTTTTTGGATTTAAGCCCTGATTTATACAATTATACGACTATATACTTGTCCGTCGTAGTAGGTAATAGTATAATACGTTATGGTTACACAATTCAAATTTCAAACACCCACGTTTAATAGATTCTGTATAGGTTATACGATACATCTTTGATACATTTACGACTTACGTAAGAAAAATATAATCTTTTAATACCTAATTTAATCGTACATTTTTATACATTTCAGTACCTATGTTTTTGACCACTCATTGTCGCACCCGCCAATATATTCTGCTAATATAATAAAAGTTCCTATACCATGAAATTTGAAATTTACTCGAAATAGGCGAAAATAAAAATATGCATACAGCATAATATCTACCTACTATTCGTTTCAAAAATACACACTAGCCAAATCTGTAATTGGATTGCGTGACAAGGAACATACTTCCATCCACCTACCTCCCCGGGGACTGGACCCAGACAGAATTTGGAAATTATAATATTTTTAAAATTTTAAAAATTTCTAAATATAATTTGCATGTAGCTGCTATAAAGATCCTAAGGTCCTGAACGCATTTATGCGACGATGGATGCAAAATTGTAAATTTTTTTTGTTCAAAAATAATACCGTTGTCGTGGATCTTGTGCGACGAAACGTGATCGACGCTGGCCATGCTGGCCAACAATTCGCGTCGGTCCGACTTGTTCCTGACGAAAAACACCATCTCGCACACGACGTCACCAGTGATGCGACCGAATATGATTATATAATATCGAACAGGACCGCGTCGAAACGTCGGTCGTAAGTCGTGAACGACACTCGGCGGTAGACGACACTTGCGGCGGCGTGTACGATATGCGCGCCACGGCGAACGTGCACCGACTACTTTCTGGTTTCTACCTACGAACGGACTTGCGGCCGAACACGGCGGCGGTGATGAATAATAACCGAACCGAAAAGCGACCGTGTGCGCGTACCGGGGTGCGTGCGTGTGCACACCACGTAGACGTAGTCGAGCGTCGTCGTCGTCACCGGTTGTGCGTGTGCGTGATTGCGCTCGGGTGGTGTGTGGTGACCGTGTGTGAGGAGGAGTGGTGGCGAAGAAAAAAAACCGGTGAAAACGAGCGCGGCAGACGAGCACCGCTCCCCGCCGCGCCCGGCCCCGCACAGGACTTGTACGCAGTTGACCGCCTCAGCCGGTTTGGCGGGATCTACGCTGCCGCCGCTGATCGTTTCTCGAGACTTCGACCATCGTCGTCGTCGCGATGTGCACGCGGGTTTTGGTCTCGCACGCCCGCAGTCGAGAGAAAGGATTGAGGCGGGTCCCGCCGTCATTTGAACGACTATATTAGTTTTTGAACGGGGTTTTAACGGTTTACAAACATTTTCTACAATGAAATTCGCGCTATTTAAGTACAATAATCATTCCGATTTATCATTATATTATACTATTTGGTTGACACCCACGTAAACGAACGAAAACAATGTATACTTAAGGTATACTTTTAAATAAGAATCCGTATACCGTATATGGTAAGGAGGTACTAGGTACCCAACGGAATAGAATTAATATAAGGAAATATTTTGACGGATTCCGAAGCGTTCGTACGTACATTTTCTATATTATGGTTCTAAATTCTATAGTAATTTTATTAATCGCACCGTGTCACGTATCACCTATTATATAAAATTAATAATTGTTATTGTAAAATATATTTTAAGAATATTAAATAATTTGTGTTTTATTTAAAATATTTTGATACGTTTTGAGAAATGTATTGACTTTTGAAATGTTCAACTTTTTTTTGTTTTGTCAATTAAGGTTACCACATTTTTTTCTGTCAAAAAGCTTGACAAATGACAACTGACAAGGTTCCTTGTGACCTTATTAAAGTAAACTTAAAAGTATAAAAATACTTATTAGGGCAAACAATTTTTATAACTTTATAAGCGTTTGAAGTTACCAATTTTGACGAAATTAGATATGTAACCGAAAAATAATAATTTTTCTCAAGCAATTTTAGTTATTTTGTTGTAACTTGTAACTTAAACGAATATTGAGAGGACACTACATCCCGGCACCAGCATTGCGTTGTTTCAGTTATAAAAATGTGAAACATAGCAATAAGTTCATAACTGTTTTGCGCGGGAAAGAACCGAGAAGGCAACAGTCATAACTCTTAACTACGAAACGAAATTTTCATCATATAATAAGGAGTTCTTGGGCTGTGAAATATCGTTTTTATTTTTTCGATATTGGAACTACAAAAACTAACCTATACAAAGACATAAGAATTCAATATCTTGTTAGTGTAAAATGTTAAGAAAATTGGAAATTGCATGTCTATTCGAAATTACAAATCGCTTTATTATATTTCTACAAACTATATATTGTATAATTATATTCAATACGCCGATGAGTGGATATATAGATTCTTGTTCAAGATTTTTAAACCTCGTATTTTTATTATTATAAATTATAATAAACCATCAACACCGCTGCTGAACCGAGTACAGCAAGTAATATAAAAAATAATCGTCTGAACTCAACCCGAGTAGTCTAAACCTGATATCGTATAACTACCGGTGTTCTTGTTTTCAAAGTGTCCACTAGCTCTTTTGACACACTGCACAAATATAATGTTAAAACAATATGTGCATTGTGCGTGTATTATTTGCGAATAGGAAAAGCGCGCGGCTAGAGTTCGGCCAGAAAGTATCTTTATGGTTCAAAGAATTGTATGCTATGATAAACTAAACATAATTATATTTTTTTAAATTAATATTTAGAAATTCCGGTCGGTTTATCATGAAATTTTATCAAAGATTAGTTATGCGTTAACATCCAAGATTTTTCGTAATTTTTTTTTACCACCAACTATTTTGAAAAGTATAAAAGGATAAAATGGTAAAAGGAAAACAATATTAGTAGCCTTATACATATGTATATATAAATTTAATATTACTCTGATAAGACTGCATTAAAATTTTCTCGCTGAATCATGAATTATTGGGTATAACTGTAATTATTATATTATAGAGGTATAGAGGTATGGACATTATAATATACACTTAACAATTTTAATATGTACTTACCTACCTCAGTGGACAGTGCCGTCTCTTCAGTTTTTAATAGAAGGGGCAAAAGTTTTGAACAGACATAGGTAATGGGTAGCCGGGTAGGTAACTTAAAAAACAACCTCTCGCAAGCACATATTAATATATTATGTTCATTTTTCTTCATAAAACGCATTTATACATACATGATACATACCTACATACCAACTTTCAGGCACCTCCACACATGTGTCTAAATACCTATAGATAAATATATTCCAACTATTAAATAGTAATTATTAATTAACAATTTATCATTGTGACAATAAATCTTAGTACCTACACAATATAATATTTCCCTATAAATATGGCTGCATACGAATTGCATGCCAAAAAAAAAAAATATCCAAATTGCATGCCGTCTCTTAGAGGGGTCTGTCCGAATTGCATGCCATCTCTTAGAGGGCTTTGTCCGGATTGCATGCCGTACGCCACACGTAACTTTTTTTTGGACTTTGCTAATTTTTTAAAAAAAAATTCATGTATAGAAACGCTCTTTTATATATGGTTGTTACAACTGTTTAGTGATTAGTTTCTGGATTGAAATATTTTTATATCCGTGTAAATATTTTCCCAAACAGTATCTATATTGGAGTAATGTAGTGTATTGTGGTCTCGGTCTGTTTCACAACAGATTGATAATATTTTATTATTATGAATTATTATTATATATTATTTTGTTTATTTAAATAATTGTAATATTGTGTGCCCGAAATGTCAAAAAAAAACCACCAAATTTAAAAATAATATTATTTAAAATACACTCACTTGATTACCCTAAACTACAATAGTTTTATTTAACTAATGGCCTTTGTTGTCGATGAAAAAAAAATAGTTTTATTTTATGATTCTTATTCACAGTGTCACCTTCTACAATATTTATATGTTTTATTGTAATGTAACAAAATCCCGATCCTCCAGTTGAAAAGTAAGTTATTTATTCGGATATACCCCTCTAAGAGATGGCATGCAATTCGGACAGGCCCCTCCAAGAGACGGCATGCAATTCGGACAGACCCCTCCAAGAGACGGCATGCAATTCGGACGACCCGATTTATATTTATTTTTTTGGCATGCAATTCGGATGCACCGATAAATATAGGCATGTTTTTGAGCTAATATAATAAAATAATGATTAATCCAAAACCGCACAGGGCACCGGCCCATTGTGCTGCTTCTAAAGACCGGCAAAAATACCCACCTTGACCTACCTATGTGAATTGGCACGTTTCTCGTTTTGTCGGTATGTATATTTGACAGATGTAATGTAATATAAGTTTTATTTTATCTAAAATACCTTTAGGCTATGAGTGAAGAATTTCAAAAATAATAGAATATTGATAATATAATTTAATTTAATTTGAATAATCCAGTTATAGATGTGATTTAATAAACATTAATAACATAAATTACACATATTTCTTGAGAATTTTACATTAGGCATATAAATTGGTAGTTAAAAAATCCAGAAAGTGTTAAATTTTCGAGTTTTAAGAATTAAAATAATGTCAAAAAAAAAAAAATAAACAATTAATTTTAATAATATAAAAGTCAAATTATAATTTATTTTTATATTTATCATAATTCAAATGTTTATAAAAAAATAATTATAAATGTTTATAATGTTCTCATCGGATTTTCCTGTTCTTTAATCATACATAGTTAAAACTTATAACACAATTAATTACATATAGGTAATACAGCTGACATTCTTAATGAATAATAGTATTCATAATCAATGGTATTGTACTATTATGTAGGTATACCTACTCTTTAGTTATTACCTATTTTGTAATAAAATATCATAGAACATTAGCATTCTATTATGATAAAACATTTTTAAAAAGTGAGTAAGTGCAGAGGGGGGGGGAGTAGGTACGTCAGCGGTGTTAGAAGTTTGTCCATCCTGCCTTCCACCTTCGGTCCTCGGACAGGATACTGTATTTTTACTATTAGTAACTATATATTTAGCAATATATTATTCGTATATAGAAATTAGTACTTACCTATGTTTAACAAATAATATTATATAATTTGAAATTCGATTCATTTATATGTTTATGTTCAAAAGTAGATTGAATAAATATAAATAAATATAAAAATAAATTCATAAGTTTTCATTTTTTTGAAGGTTATTTTAAAATTTTATTCGTTTCTGTAGTGATAATCAATGCGTTAGAAAAAAATAGCTTAGCAATAATAGGGTATTTTGGGGGTTTTTCCTGAGGCGTTAAAAAAAATATTGAGAAAATCGAAAAATTACTTGTCAAAAGTACCATCTTGACACAATTTGCTTAAAGATAAGATACTATATTATGTTGAAATCGAAGTACTCTTTCTGGTAGAAATTTTGTTTGCAGGATAAAAAAAATAAACATTATTGTAAAACCACTAGCTTCCTCTCTCTGCTCGGAGTCTAAAGAATACCAATCATCAGTAATATTACCACTATTATTACTATCACTATAAGTTTATAAAATACCTATAAGAAATAAATAATTAGCAAAACAAACATTCCAGTTTCTAGGATTATGTTTTCTGAATTAAAACAAATTCACCAAAATATTGCCTTTATTAAAAAAAAATGTAGGTGAAGCAGTAAATTTC